GGAGGCCTCCTGCAGAGATATGAGTTTTTAATGTCATAATTGATCAGACTCAGAACAAGACTGCTCTCATCATCCCAGCATCAAAAACAAGCTTGAACTGGAGATTCAGGTTTAGTTTCTTCACAAATTTCTTAATCAAATGCTAAATTAAACTATAATTAACCAAGTGTTAATGTTGGAGGGTAAAAGAGAGTGAAATGCCATCCACAGTTTCTGTAGAGGGAATGTGTTAGTAGACAGCTTCTGTGGATTAATCAATTATTTCGCAGAGTAGGTGGGTTCCATTTCAGATTAGTCATTTAGGGTTGAATCTAAGATAAATGGTAGCAGAGGACAGAGAATATATCTGTTTGTTCTGGTGAGTGGCAGAGTGCATAAGCCCTGACTCATTTTAATTTTAAATGCTTTGAATTTTAGCAAAGACAAAATTTTAATCAATGAGGAGACTGAAGTTATAGGCCACTAATGGCTCCTAAGTGAGACTAAGGTTACATCTTCACTAGGAATGCTGCACTGCTGTAGCGCTTCAGTGTAGGCACTCGCTACAGCGATGGGATGGGTTCTTATATCGCTGTGGTTAATGCGCTTCCCCGAGAGGTAGTAATTGAGGCAGTGGAAGAATTCTTCCATCAACCTAGCGTTGTCTACACCCAGGGGTAGGTCGGTTTAACTATGTCACTCGGAGGTGTGGATCTTTCACACTCCTGAGCGACCTAGCTGGGTCAACCTGACTCTTTAGTGTCAACCTGGCCTGAGTATGTGTCACGTACACCATGCAGTGAAATCCCCATTGAAGTCATTAAGAGTTTTGCCATTGCCTTCAATGGGGCCAGGATTTCACCTTGGGAGATCAGAAGAAGGTGTAAGTGATGACAACACAGACTACGCTGGACTCACCTCCTCCTGACTTGTGGCCCGCTAAATTCCCTGTAAGCTGTGTGGCTGGGCAGTTGCCTATTAAGCCCAGCCCCACGCAGGGACACCTGTCCCTGCTGGCCCCAGCACGGACCTGACCTGCCCCAGACTTGACATGGCTGGGGGAGAGGACCCCCTCCCCCAGCCCCAACCCAGCCCCTGTATGGATCTGCCATGACTGGGGGAGAGGTGCCTCACTTCCCTTCCCCCCCCTCCCCCAAGCCAGGTGCTGCTGTGGGGA